TTTTTTTTTTTTTCCTGGTTTTTCAAGACAGGGTTTCCTCTGTGTAACAGCCCTAGCTGTCCTGGAACTAGCTCTTGTAGACCAGGCTGGCCTTGAACTCACAGATATCCGCCTGCCTCTGCCTCCCAAATGCTGGGGTTAAAGGTGTGCGCCATCACCATCTGGCCAAAATAGCCCTCTTCTCATCAGAGCTAGGGAATAGCTCTTGGCTATTCTCAACATAGCTCTTGGCACAGGAAACACTCAACTTCAGTATAAACATCTGCACTGGGGCTGAAGAGATGGCTCAGTGTTGAGAACTCTGCCTGCTCTTCCAGAGGTCCTGAGTTCAATCCCAGCAACCACATGGTGGCTCACAACCATCAATAATGAGATCTGGTGCCCTCTTCTGGCCTGCAGGAATACATGCAGGGATATATAATACATGATATATAATACATGCAGGGATATATAATACATGATATATAAAACATGATAAATAAATAAATCTAAAAAAAAGATGTCCTCTTAAAAAATAATTAAAAAAATAAACATCTGTACTCAACTACATAAGGAAATGTATTCATATCACATTTGGTGGGAGTAGAGTTCAGTGGCCACCTGTGCTTGGCAAACAATGAAATACTGAAGCAGGGCATGGTGGTGCATGCCTTTAATCCCTGCACTCAGGAGGTAGAGTCCAGGACAGTCAGAACTATGTAGAGAGACCCTGTCTCAAAAGGAAAAGGGAGGGGGGGAGGCACTGCCTTTGGGTTAGTCCAGGAGAGGAAGGACTTGTTTGTACTTTACCAGAGCATCCCACACCCAAGCCTGCCCCTACGGCAGTCAGTTTGCCCCTCTGTAGTACACATTTGGTCCGTGTGCACAGATCAAGTGGGTAGAACTGTAGTTAGTTGAAATGGAATCATTCCCTGTGCTCCTTCACCAGCTTAGGAATGATGTTTAGAAGGCAGAGGAGTCCAGCATGTGAAAGAGTTGGTCTGATTGTGTCCTAGACACATCTACTGAATTAACAACCCTTCACTCAGACCCTGAGTCCAGCTCAAGTAGTAAGGGATGGACTCAGTCCTGATCCCCTCCTGGGCATTTGTGCCTCAGAAGGTCCACCAGACATGAGAGGAGAGGGTTATCTTCATACTCCAGCCTCACTCGACGGGCAGGCTGCCAGAGCCAGGGATTTGCCCTCAGAGGGCACCAGGACATTGCTCTGCAGCTTCCCATTCTCCGTGTCCTCGGTGAAGTCCCTGCTTGCTCAAACTGGAAGAAGGGTCACTTCCAGTTGTTTGTTTTTATTTGAGAGGCTAAGACAGCAGTGAGTTTAAAGCCTCTGTGCTACATAACCCCAGGCTAGCCTGGGCTAAACAAGTCCCTGCCTTAAAAAGAAACAGATGGGTTAGGTGTTGGTTGGTGCAGGCCTTTAATCCCAGCACTCAGGGGGCAAAGGCAGGTGGATCTCTGTCAGTTTGAGGTCAGCCTAGTCTACAGTGAGTTCCAGGACAGCTAGGGCTGTTGCACAGAGAAACTTGGAAAACAAACAAACAAACAGAAAGGAGCAGATAGAAGGGGTTGGAAAGGTGAAACGGCTCAGAAATTTAAAAAAAAAATAGATCACTTGCTGCTCCTTCGTAGAAACCCAATTCAGTTCCCAGAACCCACACTGAGTGGCTGATAACTGCCTATAACTCCAGCTCTGAGGAATCTGGCCTCCATGGGCACAACCAGGTGTCATGCACAGACCCATATATATATACATAAATGAAAATAAAGCTATAAAAATGAAAGCAGGGGCTGGAGAGATGGCTCAGAGTTTGGGGTACTGGCTGCTCTTCCAGACGACCTGAGTTCAGTTTCCAGCACCCACTTGGCAGTTTATAACTGTGGTTCCAGTTCCAGGAGATCGGACATCCTCACGCAGACACACAGGCAAAACACCAATATACATAAAGTAAAAATTAATTTAAAAAAATAACTGAGTGTTGGGCGGTGGTGGCACATGCCTTTAATCCCAGCACTCCGGAGGCAGAGGCAGGCAGATCTCAGTGAGTTTGCAGCCAGCCTGGTCTACAAGAGCTAGTGCCAGGACAGGCTCCAAAAACTATGGAGAAACCCTGTCTCGAAAATCAAAAAAAAGAAAGAAAAAAAGAAAAAGGCTGGTGAGATGGTTTATCAGTTCAGAGCACTGCTCTTCCAGAAGACCAGGATCCAATTCCCAGCACGCACAACATGGCAGCTCACAATTGTCTATATAGGTCTGACACCCTCCTACAGACATACATGCAGGCAAAACAATGCACAATCAATAAGAATAAATAATTTAAAATGTTGCCAGGCAGTTTTTGAGCATGCTTTGAATCCCAGCATTTGGGAGGCAGAGGCAGGTGGATCTATATATTAGTTCAAGGTCAGTCTGGTCTACGAAGTGAGTTCTAGGATAGCCAGGACTGCACGCACCTAAGGACCCTGTCTCTCCCTCCCCCGCAAGAAAAAATTCAAGGAAAAATCTGACTGGGCAGAGAAGACCTCACTGCAGAAGTGGCAGGAGTAAGTTTCCAAAGGAGACGAGGAAGCAGGCAAGCTGAACTCTGCACTTATCTGGGATAAGAGAATTCTAGATAACTGCTTTAGTGCCTCTCAAATCCTGGGCGGTGATCTAGGATATGTAAACCAGTGCCTAAGTCTGCAGTAAATCTATTTGTAAACAGAGCCATCTCTCGACGTTCCCACGGACAGTTACTCATTACAGCGGGAAAGCCTTTAAGCCTCTGCTGAAATGTTCATATCAAAAGGGAATGTTTGCCCAGCGTGGTGTCTCACCCTGCAGACCCAGCCTGAGAGAGGCAGAAGCAGGAGAATCACTGAGTTCTGAATTTGAGGCCACCAGTCTACATATGAAGTTTTTGTCACACAGAGTAAGGAGTTGTCACTTGTTGATAGCACACTTGCCTTCCATGCATGAAGCCCTGGGTTTGATCCCTAGCATGGCCTAAAACCATACATGGTGGTACAGACCTGTTATCCCAGCACGTGGGCAGTGGAGACAGGTGCATCAGCGCAAGCTTGAGGCCGGCCTTCCATACATGAGGCCAGGTCTCCAAAAGCGCAAAAGAAAAAAATAATGTTGAGCCTGGTGGTACATGCCTCTAATCCCACTTTAATCCCAGCACTCGGGAGGCAGAGGCAGGCGAATCTCTGTGAGTTCGAGGCCAGCCTGGTCTACAAGAGCTAGTTCCAGGACAGGCTTCAAATCTACAGAGAAACTCTATCTTCAAAAACAAAAAAAAAGAAAAAAATATAGCATCTGAGAGTTCTT